GAGACTCAAGAACAGATTGGTCTTGCTTGAAACTGTTAAAGGTGTTGAAAGTTACAATTAGTCACAGTTTGTAAATGTTGCATTATCAAACAGGTTTTTTCTTTCTGATTCTTTTTTCCTAACTTTTTTCAAGGTTATATTGTTGCATTAGAAGTTTTGAAGTTGTCAAAGATATATTATAGAATTAGAAGTTCTTTGAAGTTTACATGTGTTGTTTGTAAAAGTTCAGGCCCAGCATTTTTGAATTGTGAGTATATTTGGTTTTACTTGTGAAAGTTCCAATAAGATTTATAATATTAACGTTTTGACAATTCTTAGTGTAAATAAAGGATTCATTACACCATTGTAACAACAGATTCATTAAACAGGAATCAAATGTTAATGATGAACAGCAACAAGCATCTGGCACTTGTGAAACAGCAGACATTTTATGCAAGAATGTTTCTAAATACAAATATTCCATCTTCAGTAAACTACATGAATGAGAAATTAAAATAAAAGTAAAATAATGAGTTTTTTTTTTTACAATAGATGTAGAATGCAACATATATAAGTTAAAAAATTACAGAGTTGTATGGAATTATATAAGTTATTCAGAACAGACTTAACTAAAATTGTTATTTAGAGTTGGGAGTTTATTTAAAAAAGATAAGTCTCTTTAATTTAGAGATCTTATATTTGTAAACTGGTTAAATTCATTGTTCCTATTCTAAATTTACTTGCTCTCTAGCTTTGACACTGATTCTGTATTCACTGGTATTCTACTTGAAGAAACAGTTTAAATAATCTTAATAAAACTTTCCCCAACATAAATGAAAAACACACCAGTTTTAACAATCACTAGTTTGAAGAATTACTCAAATTCACCCTCATTGATAATACCTGTATGAGTAAACAAATAGCACAGCAGTTGGATCATCTTTAGGGCTGACCCTTAGAAATATATTTATTGTCATTATGAGTATTCCTGACTAGATATCTGTCCAGCTGAAAGCACCAGCTTATGTAGAAGGTATGTTGATGACACATCTTAAATCTTTGAAAGCCCTGATCACATTAAAAATACCTGGATTATATTAAGTTTACTTGTGAAACTGAAGAAAATTTCCTCTTCTTAGTATCCAAATCAATAGATTAACCGGGTTACAACATCCATCTATTGGAAAAACATTTATTTTTAATAAAATTTAGCCCCCAAGGAAACCATATACTGTAAACAAATACCCACTATAACTGGTTATTCTATTTTCATACTAAAGTTGCAATTAAATGAGTAATTAAATTTTTTATGCAAATGTTAAATTACAAATAATACTTAAATCACCATTCAGGATTCAAAATCTATTGAGTTGTAAAGACCTATTACTTTCCACTCTGCTTTTCCATGATGTAAAACAAGCAAATATAGGGACTAACAGAGGCAAACTTAATATTATCATCATTATACACAGAAAGAAAATATCATTTGGAATGCATTAATATTGTATAACTCAATGTAGTTTTCTTACAAAGTTCTTTTTACAAACATTCTTAATGAAATAGTAATTATAAAATCAAGGTCAGAGATTGCATAAGCAAATACAAACACATTCACACTAACAACATTCTTGTGCATAGGTAGCCAAGATGTTATTTAAGGTTAGACTTTCTCTCCATACAATACAAGAAAAGGTATCAATTCTCTGGGAAAGATCCAACTGTCAAATAGTTTAATGACAACCTTGATAAGTAGCAGTTTTCTAATGAGGCTGAAGGAAACTTGAAGATGACAGAAAGTCAGAATACTGATGCTAGTAGGCATGTGATAGATAAAAAACCTGCATTCAACCTTAGAATCCTGGACTGAATGCACAATGGTTTCGAACTACTGTAAACCTAGTGAACAGTAGAGCACGTAATCATAAGTTCTTACAGAGTAAGTTGTGATTACATGCTACATTTCTGGATTCCAATAAGTTTGATAACATCTGAAAATTCTTTATAAGTATAAAAGCAGGGTAGTCAGTCAATATTGAGGTTTACCAAGTTGCATCATAAAAAGTCAACAAATCAATCCCTCAGTTTTAACCAAGCAAATCTCATCTTCTCAGTGAAAATAGTTTTTGGTATATTTAAGCTCTTAAAGTCTGGTTAAAAAGTTCTTTAAGTAACATCTGTAAGTGTTAGAATGTATGATGTTTTGTGCAGACATAAGCTTTAGAGAATGTAATTCTTGTTGTTGTTAATAAATGTTCTTTTTCGTTTAAAAAACCTCCGACCTATTTATTTCTTATTCTCACATAAACCTCCTGGAGTTGGTAATCTTATATACACTTATAATTATATACACCTTATTGTGCTTTGCCACCAACTGCTTCTTTGTATTTCAAATAAATAGTATCTGCAAGGAGTATCATTTCCCGTGATGTGCCTGTTACAGGTGTATGATGGCTGTAATGCTGCTTATAGTAACAAAATACATTGCAAATTACAGGACATGGGAGTATTAAGCATAATTGGAATACTGTTCTGCCCAGTGTTGACAAAGTGCAAAAAGTGATTCAGGAGAAAGGTATAACCTTTAAGGATGGACTCACCATTATAAGCTCATTTTCGAACAGACTCACCAAAGAGTGAGACAAAATTGTTGAAAATTCCATCAGATTGGCAATCACCAGTTGTGAAAAGATGGGAATAGAAATCAACCTTGAGTATGAAGACAAAAGCAAATGCCATGAGAAAAGGAGCATAATGCAGGTCTCGACATAAAAACTGACTTGACATGGCTATTGAAAAAATCAATTGATAGACTCTGCCAGGAAATAGATGATAGATACAACCAAGTGAATGTATTGCTATCCAACTTTGGATTCATATTCAGCATGGAAAGTCATGTGTCCTCAACCTTTGATGAAGAGAATGTTGAAAAACCATTTCTGATTTGAATATAAAGAACCCAAACCACTTCACAGCAGAGTAACTCTTGGAAGAAATCACAATTCTATGTTTTATGTTGCATTCAGACATTGATCTAGCAGGTGGCAAAGAATAACATTAAGACTGACACAAGGCAATTAAGTTCTCAGTCCTTGGTTAGCTAGAATGGATCATACAGACACAGTCAAGGGAGGTATTCCCCAACATCGTTGTTGTATTACAATTGGTCACTACCATTGTAATAAGTGTTGTATTATGCACAAGAAGTTTCAGCAAGCTAAAATTTCTCAGGAATTTTCTTTGGTCTACAATGAGCCAAACACAACCCAGTAACTTGGCTATTATATTGATGGAAAGGAAAATAGCTGGACATATTTATTTTGATACAATTATAAAGCAATTTGCTTTGGTAAAAGCATGACAAGTGTCTCTATAATTATATGCATGTAGATCTACACATAGTTTGTAATTAAACCATACAAGTCTTTCTGTATATTTAGTGAATGGTCAAAATATGACACTAAAACAAATTGTCAGTGTAATTTTATTTGTAATGCAGAATCATTATGGTTATCAATAT